CGTGTGCAAATTTGCCCATTTGCATGCGTGCCTTGACGGGCTACAGGCACGATGTAGAAAAAGCCCCAGATCCCCTTGTATGAGTGAGTGCCATCCGTTGTCTGAGAGGAGAGTAGAAATCAATCGACCACCACAAAACGCGCTGTATTTTGCTTGTGCAAGTTCGAGTGGATCAATTTCATTACCAGGAGTAAGACCAGGGTCAACCTCAGTAGGGGTCCCGCCCATGAATACAGAGCCCTCGCCGTATGGTTGCCAACGATAAGTACTCGTCACATGTTCGTCGTACCCTGGTAGGGTCTTCCAGCCGTCTGGGTGATCGGATGGTGTTGCCACTGTCTTGGGGCGTGGTCCGATACCTCCAAATCCTCCGCGTGCAGTCAACCACGTACTGAGCTTGCGGCGGAATTTGCTCGCCTGGGTAAGATCGGAGAACGCCCTCATCTCGGTGACAAGGTTATCTTCGACAACGTGGCCAGGGTGTCCCGCAGTATCTGATGTCCTGGCTAGGCCAGGTGGGCGCACGGGTAATTTGATCGCAGCGCGATCAAGTTTAGGAGCGTAGCTGGGAGTTGTCAATACATTACTGTATGCGTCATGAGGCGCACATACTCCATTTCCGTAAAAGTATTTTGTGTCCTGAACGCTGTCCTCGGCATATTGCCCAAGAAATCAACTGCCAATGTTTGACCAATCGTTGTGCATCATCATCCACTCCGTCTTCAATACCACTGTCGTGAGTTCCATTGGTGGGCACTTGCGGCGCGAGCCTGGAATCACCGCGTGCAAATGATCATGTAAGCCACGAACTTTTTCTTGTATAGAAGAACTGCGTGTGAAGAGGCTGGAGAGCATGCACATGGCTCTCATGAAAGGTATCCATGGCGTAGCCGTGGTCGTACTGAACTCGTAGTTGGCGTTGCCGCCGACTCCTCCACCAACTTCGCCGATCCAACTCTTCACGTCAGCGGACGCGGAGCGGGTAACTTCGACAATAGTGGATTCGTCGGGTACGCGGAGATCAAACTCTGCACTACGATCAGCACGCCGATGATGTACATATGCAAAGCCATCTTCGGGATCACGAGGACGGCCAGTTTGAGCGTGGTACGCGAAGCCCACGCGGTCATCGTCCTTGGCGTTCGGGTCGTACTCGGCGTCGTAGCCGATGGGCCAGCCGACGAGGTGGAGCGGCGGTGCCAGATCCATCTCGGGGATGGGGAAATCGGGATTAGAACCGATCTCACTTAGTTGCGCCTCGCACACGGCGAACAGGATGCTGGTAAGCTTTGTAGCTCGAGTCGTCAAATTGCTGCGGCACGAACGCACAATGAGTGTCCTAGACCTCTGTACCATGTGGAGGTGAGGGAGAATGGCGGGGTCGTCTACCGTGCGGGGAACGCGCTCTCGAGCGAGGTGTGTGCAAATCGGTAGCTGCAGCAGGGGCGCCGATATGGTACATACATGCACATATGCCCTCGTGATTGGCTTGTCCAACGCACTGCATTCCGCATTCTGATCCTACCTCGCCCCATCTTTCTTTCTCTGTAACTAAGATTTTGCATACTTCCGGACATCCATCCAGTTTTGGAGGTTCAGCAACATGAGGTAAACCATCGGGCCTCCGAGGCCCTCGTAGCGGTTCCCATGGTTCCTTTGGAGCACATTGTACCGGAGTAACAGGAAAGATGAGTGAGTGCTCCAAGAGGTCCCTCCAGAGGTCTGCTTTCTTTGGCTCAAAATGTTTGGTCATCATATCTGCAATCTGCTCTTCTGTACCTACATACTTGAGCTCAATATGTTCGAGTTGGCATGTCTCGCATATCCAATCCAGGTTTATACGATGGGTAAACAGATGGTACAACGACAGAAACATGCCTCTCAAGGGCGTTGTCTTCGCTTTTCCAATACGTACCGACGCCGACTCGACGTGGATGAATATTGCGCTGGAAGGCCCCTCTTCATGCCGCGACCGAATACAGCAACATAAAACTTCCGGTGATCTACCATATCTTGGAATGCCGAGCATTTATAGGCCACGTATCCCGCGCGCGCCGACCAGACGCCCCGCTCCTCGGACACCCGATCCCGACGAGCTGGTGGCCACACCTGCCGAGGATCCTACTACCGCAGACGATGGATCCCAACAAAAGGCAGGCCAATCTACTGAGCCTCTGGTTACTGTCATCGTGGATATATCGAACATCCCACTCACAGACGAGGAAGAAGCAGCGAATGGTAACATGGGCAGATTTATCAGCAGACATCCAGGCTGATGAAGACGTCGGCTCGAGCATCCTTGATAACATCATCGACCCACCAGAGGACTTCCTCAACCATCCCGACTACGACCCAGACGAGGATACAAGGTGGATCCAGCAACCCTACGACCACCGCATATACCGCTGGACGTCGGAGTTATTGGTGGATTCACCTATGATAAAGGTGACAAATTATTGAGGTGCATACTGGCAGGGACAAGATTGTGGTGGATCAGATACAGTCATACTTACGATTTGACATACAATTTAGATCCAAAGCATACAAGTCAGAGACATACTATTTGGATTACAATCATACCCACAAATGGGCACGTTATTTACCGATTTGCAGTGCGGATCGCTTCTTCAAGAAGATGGTAGTGTGGCCAAGCCGGTCGGAAGAAATGGTGGTTGAACACAGGCAGACTCGATCGAGGCGCGAGGCAAGAGCGCGGGCTTGTCACGATTGCCCTTCCCCTTGGGGATGGCACTCGTGAGAAAGTCACGCAGCGCAAGCTTGCCGTGCTTGCCTCCATCGAGCCCGCCTTGGGTTCCACTGACCAAAGGGGGGCTGATTCAGGGATGAGAACCGATCCGATCGAACCTGATATGCACTCCCCACATTCTGATGATGCCATGGAGCCACGCCAGCCGCGGCACCCGCCGCCGCCGCCGCGCCCGGCTCCTGGCGACGCTGCAGGGTCCAGCGCCTCTGGCGCGCAGGACGACATGCCCGCTGGGCAGCGCGGCGCTGCCGCGCAGCGGCAGGACAGCGACGACAGCCGCAGACCAACGACACCTCCTCGCGCCAAGAGGGCGCGCACGACGGAGGACTACGCTACGTGGTGGCGCGACAACCTAGAGGACAGCCAATGGGGCCCCAGATGCTGGAGCTACTACATCAACTGCCGGATGTACATCACGGGCAACAACGACGAGTTCGTATACGTACGCGACATCCAGTACAATGATTGGTTCCGCAACTGGATCCCGAGGACGCCCTGGGAGTAGAACTTCATCATTACACAAGTTCGCCTCGAGCGGTGGTGAATAAATCATTTTAGGCCACTTCACTATCCGAGAAAAGTGGCCACGCCTATCCTTGCGAAACCCAAGGCAGCCCCCTAAGGAGCAACGCCGAAGGGAGTAACAACATGCAGAATTTGTGTATGCAACTTTCGTGCTTATCAACACGACTTTACGTACGGCCGTGCCTAGTTTGCTTTGATGGTTGGACGTGTTTCTCAACACGATCGTGTTCCTCAACACGACTTCATAGTGCACATCTTATTTGTGTTTCTTATTTGCAGTATAGTAACATTGCGTTGAGAATGATATGATGCCCAGCTCTCGAATGGGAGCCGGTGGCAACACCTGCCCCGCTCAGGCGCGGCAGTTTTTGATGTTGCTCTAACTTGCTCAGATCCTCTTTCTCCGCCCACCCGTGTCTCATCCTTCTCCGCCCTCGAGTGCCGAAGCGTTTTGGGGGGCGCACCGAGGGGGCGCCAAAGCGTGCTTGGCGAAGACACAGGGATCCTGGGTGTTCCTTCTTACCTTACCTTGCCTAATCGCGAGCGCTATCGCGATTGGGGCGCAGCTGAAGCTATACAGATCTTGTGCTCAGCTGCCTGACAGAATTGAGGATTTGAGGAGTAAAAGGGTAACGGGATATTTTCCTCTGCTCCCGAGCCCCACCCTGACGGGCGGTATTCGGGACGGGGGGTGCGAATAGAACCCGTGTAATACCCTCATATATACTCTTTATCCTCACCTCTCCTGCGCCTGGCCGCTTGGGCTCAGGTATTGGGACAGATCGATCAGACCTTTGATCGTGCAGGAGGAAAAGATATCCATCGTTCCCTCCTTCCCTCTACCAACGGATCAGGGGTCCTGTACCCTTGTACTTCAACCCCATACACAGCGTCGAGCCCCTCGCCTCGCGTCGATGCGCGGGCTGGCGACCCCCGCGCGGGCGGGCGTTCGAAGAGTCGAGCGCCGCCAGTGGCCCGGGGTCGGCCAGCATCGGCCGATGCTGCGCGATGGGATTGTCGGAGGCGGCCAAGAGGGGGGCGATGGCTAGGGTTAAGTCGGGCGTGCCCCTCTACAGGAGGAGAATTCAAACCCTATTCGTATTTCATGACGTCCCTGCCCCCCCCCTGGGCCGCGCGCGCACGTGCCGCCGGCCACGATTTGCGCCCCCCCACCACTTGGATGCTCCCCTCTGAGGCTGCCCCCGACAAAGCCGCGGTCGATCAAGGCTGAACGATCCGCCCCAGAAGCCAGCGCCACGAGTTTTCACGGCACCTGCGTGCCGAACAGCCAAGACGTTGAAAGCTGAGCAACCAGTGTGGGTTCGGAAGGGGCTCGCTGTCCCTTCACCACCACCAGAGGGGGCCACCTCCAGCGAGGGGGCCCGCGCTACGTCACCGAGCTGGGGATAAAGAGAGAGGGCGTCTCGAACGGGGAGGGGTGACCGCACCACCAGGAGGACCCTGGTGGTGGTGGAGTGGGTGGTGGAGTTGCCGCTCCTGGTGGAGTTACCTCCCCCTCCCTTTTCCTCCTCCTCCTCCTCCGCCTCCTCCTCCTCCTCCTCCTCCTCCTCCTCCTCCTCCTCCTCCTCCTCCTCCTCCTCCTCCTCATCGCGCTGGTGGTGGAGCTGCCGCTCCTCCCTGCTCCCGAGGATGACACTCGGCCAGGCACGGCGGTGCTGCACACAGGGGGCCTTCTGCGGGCGCCAAGGGCCCGGCACCCCCGCCGCCAAGGACGTCAGGCGCCGCCCCGCCGCGGCCCAGGGGGCGGCTGTCGCCCTGCGCGCCCAGGCCACCGCCGACCGTTGAACGCCGCCGCCGACCGCCGCCGCCGCCGTCCGAGGAAGATTCCTGGGAGGATCAAAACTCGAGTGAAGTCGGGCCTGTCCCTCTACAAGAGGAAAATTCAAAGATAGTCAAAAAATAGTCTGGGACGTTTTGCTAGTCCATTTTTGAAAATTTTCTGAATATTCGTTGACTCTTTCTTGTTTTTCCAAAATCCGCCTGTAGGGGGACAGGCCCGACTTCAGACTCGAGGGGGAGCAGATCCAGGCCTCCCAACTGGGATCCGAGCAGGCTATCGCACACATGGATCGAGGGGGCGTGGATTAGCGACGGGTCTCGTTTCCACAGGGAATCGCGGATTTCCGCCGCCGAACAAGGCGGCACCGGCCGCATTCTGGGGAGGGCACATCCCCTGATCCATGGATTTGGCGACCGCGCGCCAAATCCATGGATCGGTAATCCATGTTTGTGCGCAACCGATCCGAGTAGATGGGGTCGGAGGATCGCGCCGCATCACCATTGCCGATGCGGCTCAACGTGTAGTCAGATTCTCTCCACGCCGTCGGCGCCGTCGCCAGCGTCGCCGATGCGTCACCGATGCATCGGCGATGCATCGGCGACACGGCGCGATCCTCCGACCGCATCTACTCGAGGACCCCACCTAGGAGGTCGGTCTCTCCAACACCTCACGCAGCCCTCCATCCAGGCGGCATGGAGGGGCTGTGTGGGGGAGGGGCAGATCCCATCCGACCCGGAAGGAGGGAGCTGGAAGAGAAAGGGTCCTGAGCTGCTTCCTCCTAGACGGCTGGTGGAACTGGCTGCATACGGCAGGTCCGCGTCGTGTCGACCGGCGGCGACCCCAGCGCGGAGGTTATAGGTTGGACGCCGCTTGTGGCCCAGAATCGGCGCATCCTTGAACGATCCGGCCTCTTTGAAAGGGCCGATCGTTCAAGTTTGAACGATCCCCGCGGCGTCAGGAACCAACGCCGGGGTCGCCACGACGCAAACCTGCCATATTAAATCGTGTCTCTCAGAAGTCCGCACTGTGCTTCTTGGGTCGGCGCTGGACCCCCACCCAGCGGGGGATTCATCGCCAACCCCAGAAATACGCGCGTGCCCCCACAGGTTGGCGTGAATCAGGCGATCGCAAACGTGGATCAAGGGGGCGTGGATTGGGGACGGATCCCGTTTCCATGGGAAATCGCGGATTTCCGCCGCCGAACGAGGTGGCACCGGCCGCATTCTGGGGAGGGCACCTCCCCCTGATCCATGGATTTGGCGACCGCGCGCCAAATCCATGGATCGCTGATCCATGTTTGCGCGCTCCCGAGTGAATGCTGTCAGTTGTTCTTCTGGACCCATGCCGATGCCCATGCGTCGCGCTCGACTTCCTCCATGGGCAGCCTGGAGGGCCCTCGTCTCCGCCGCTCGTTTCACCTCGAAGTCCTGGTCGGAACGCGCCTCAGGAGGTTCGTGAAGTAGCGTTAAGTCGGGCACGTCCATCTACAGGAGGAATATTCAAAAATAGTCGTGGGACGATTTTTCTAGCATTTATGATCCCTGATTGTATATTGTTTGATATTGTTTTTTTGTTCGCCCAAAATCCCCCTGTAGGAGGACACGCCCGACCTCAGAGTAGCGGTATCGATATCTGTTTGCCCCCTTCTCCCAAGGTCAGGCCGCTGGGGAGCAAGGCTGCGCGGGAGGAACCTGTACACCACTGCTGTGCCTGGCCAGGGCCAACCTGTGCCCCACGATGGCGTGCACTGCCGGGTCTGATTAGCAGGTCGACCCCGCAGAGAAGGGGGTGCGCATCCGTTCGTGTCCTGCCCATCGCAGATCCCTTCCTCTTCGTGTATGGAGGACCGTGCGTGCGTCCTCTCGGGAGACGCGTGCGTCCTCTTGGGCGGCCTCTGCAGCCAGGCCCGGTTGCAGACCCCCCCCCCCGGCATCAGCCGGGAGGGCGCGCGCTCCGCGCCAGGGCTCGGGATTCGACGAGCAGGGGAAGGACACGGACACAAAACTGTCGGAGGTCCGAGCGGATCCGTGAGGTCCGCGCGGACCTTCCACACCGTACGCGCTGGCTGTTGAAAGCGGGTATCTGGGGTGCCCATGTCCCACTCTATGTTAGGTTCCTTCCGACTTCAAGAGTCGAGTGGTATTTCCTCTGCCCTCGTCCTCGGGAAGCGGGCGGAAGCCCAATCTGCTCTCAACGCCTTCCTACGTCTTGCGTCTGCCCACGTCTTCTGGCCGACGGGTATGCCTGATGCCGTCCTGTCTTCCTCTCAGGGCCTGTGGACATGGCCCCGGGGCTCGAGCTGAACTGTGCCTTGGCGACTCCGTGGGCCGCTCTCTTTTCGTTCTGCTGCCGCGCTGCACCGAAGGCGGCACGAGAGCAGAGCGAGGGAGCACGAAAACGACACGACGACGGGCAGCACTGCTCAGCTCGAGCCCCGCGGTGGCCCTGGCCGGGCACGGCGGTGGCGCGCAGGCGCCCCTGCTGCCCACAAGGTGGCGCCCCTGGCCCCGCCCGGCGGGCCCCCGGCGGCCGGCGGGGCCCCTGGCGGCGCAGCAGAGGCCGGCGGTGCCAAGACGGGGCCTCGACGGACGGGGCTCTGAGGACGGGAAGGTCCGGGCAGTGGCGAAGCGTCCTGGCTTGCCTGCAGGCCCACCGAAGGACGTTCGGAGAGCCTCTCGAGGTCTGCACGAGGGGTGCTCGGAGCAGCTCTGGCCGAGGCTGTCTTGTCTTTGACGCATGGGCTTCGTGCTCGAAGGACACTGCAGCTGTTCTTAGGACAGCGCTTCGGTCTAAGAACACCTCGTGGTGGGCCGAATTACAGAAATGGCAGGACGGTCGGCCCCTGCTCACGAAGGGGTCCAGGGTCGAATGATCGGAACGATCGAACTGGGTAGGGAAAGAATGGATGCGATGCCCAACAGCAGTTCCTGTTAATGTTGAACAGGACTCGCTGCTCGCGCCGCTGCGGACGCTGTTCACTGAAGACAAAAAAGCCGCCTGCCCAACAGCGGCCGCTGTCGGTGTTGAACAACGTTCGTGGTTGGGCATTGTACCCATTTTTCCGTACCCATCTCCAGCGTCCATGGAATGCCGGGACCGTCGGCCCTTGCTCAAGAAAGGATCCAAGGTCGAATGAGAGGAACCTCGTCCGTGGCCCCCATCCTCCAGGACCCCATCTGAGCGACGTGAGCAAACGGGGTCGTCTGCGCCGGCACTGGCGCGCAATCTGCCCGTGGAAGGCCACGCGCAAGCGCCCTCGTCTCCGCTGTAGCGTGCCGCGCTGGGTGCCCGCGCGAGCCGACGCGTGAGGCCGCTACGGTAGGCATCGCTCGGACGTGTGCATTTTTCCTTCGGCGAGGACCATCGAGGAGCATCCTTGACCATTTGGCGAAAAAAACACGCACGAAACCGACAAAAACACAGGGAATGGACGTCCGAGCGATGGCCGCTACGTCCTCTCGCGCAAGACCCGTTTCTGATCGTCGCTCATCCATGAGCCACCGAAGATCGGCCACGCGCAGAGGGGGGGAAGAGGGGGAGGGAGCGGCGGGCCTTGGCTGTAGACTGTAGATGTAAGGCCGGCGCCTTCTAAGAAGCGGACTCCTTCTGAGAAGTCTTCCCCCCTCCCCTTGCCCCCCTTCAGGAGGGGAGAAAACACAGACACAATTAATCGTCGATTCACATTATGGGAAGTGGGGGGAAGACAAAAACCCAGAAAATATGGGGAGACATGGGGTATCCTGTGATTTGTGTCTACTTGTTTGTGTGTCCCAGGGCCCCTGCCACCCCTCTGCGCGCCGCCATGACGAGGCCGCGCCCGCGCCCGCGCCCGCTCAGGCCGCGGTGGCCCACGCGCGGCCGCTGGGCACCAAGCGGGCGGCCCCGGCGGCGAAAGGCGCGCCCCCGAGGGGTCGAGCAGGGGATCGACTACAGAACTGATGCACCCCTGAATGGGCTTCCGCACCGAATCTGCGACGAGTGCGCAGAGTCTTCGCGAACTTGCTGGGGTTTCTAGGTCATTCTCCCGTAGACTCGACGGGAGAAAATTGACAGTCAAAAACCCTAATCCGCACAGGCGACGAGGGGGCCGAACAGTGGCCCGGCAAGACGAGCGAAGCAAGGGCCAGGGAAAGAGCACGGCCGGGGGACAGACTGAGGTGAGGGGCCGAGGCCCGAAAGCCACGCAGGGACGGAGGGAGGGCGTCCTCGCCGGAAGGGGGGGGGGGTCCAAAAGACGGTCTCGAAAGGGGGCGGGGGAGGGGAGGGCGGGAGGTCCAAGCTAGGTTTTCGAGAGTGGCGGGGGGGGAGGAGATGTTGGAGAGCGGAAGGGGAGGGGGTTGGCCGAGCCAGGCGCCCGCGACAGGACGCCCTGTCCAGCAGCAGAAATTCGCTCTCCCCCTCCTTCTCCTCCTCCCCCTCCCCCTCCTCCTCCTCCTCCTCCTCCTCCTCCTCCTCCACCTCCTCCTCCTCCTCCTCCTCCTCCTCCTCCCCTCCTCCTCCACTCCTCCTCCTCCTCCTCCTCCTCCTCCTCCTCCTCCTCCTCCTCCTCCTCCGCCTCCCCCGCCCTCCACTCCTCCCCTCCACTGCGAAGCCTCGCTTGGCCTGGACCAGGTGATGATGAGGTCTGCCCGGTCCTTTCGGAAGCAACCCGCAGTCTTCTCCTTCGCACCAGCGTTGCCTTGGCTCGATTCCGCTTGATCCCTCGCCCTTCCTTCCGCCTCCTCCGCCGTCCTCCTCCCTTCCTCCCCCTCCTCCAGGGAGGGAAGCTTCGCTACTGACTTTCAAGGATGGTCAAATCGTGAGCCCCTTTGCCAGAATGGATGGTTGGGGCCGCGATGTGTTTGTTGCCGCCGGGCAGGCTGGGATTGAAGTACTGCCGAGACCGTTGTTGAGTGTCAGGCCCCACC